TTTATAACTATAAAACATGAAGATATCGATGACTCCGAGTCTTCGACTCGGACTCATCGATTTCTTCATATTTTATAATAATTAAAGATCACCAAGTAATAAAATCATTATTTTATATTATAAAAATATACTTCTTCAAAATTATTTTCATTATTTCAATTCAATTATTATTTTCAAAAAATTTTAACTACAATTTTACTTTATATCAATTATTTTTAATAATTTTCGAAAAAGTTCTTTGGAAATTTTCAAATACATTTGTTCACAATATTAAATTTCACAAAATTTCACAATATTCAATTATAATCTAAAATTTTAACTGCATGTCATTTTTATGAAATGAAAATCAATTTTTATTAGAAAATTCTACAAGAATTTAATTATTATTTAAATCCAAAAGTAAATAATTTATTGGATAATTGAATGTTTCTCAAAATTCAATTCTCATAAAGAATTTTTAGTAACAAATTTTTAAATAATTAAATTCTTTTTGTCGAATTTTATTAAAATTTGCATGAACATATTTACTTTTTTCAAGGATTCCATTATAATTGTATGAAGAATAATTGAAACGCTGCGATGAGATTTATGAGAATTTTTAAATTCATTCGTTTAGAATTCAATTTTACAAAATTTCAATTATTCGGAAATTCTGCAATTAAATATACATTGAAAAATAAAAACATGAAATAATTTCAATAAAAATCCTATTAAACTTTCAAAAAGAATTAATTCTACAGAATTGTTTGGCAAAAATATGAAAAATTAAGAATTTCAATGATTTTAGTTTGAAACTTTTTTAAAATTTAATTATTTCTAAAAATCCACGTTATAATCCTTTTAATATTTAATTATAATCTAAAATTTTAACTGAAATTTATTTTTAAAACCATTTTTATTAGTAAATTCTACGAGAATTAAATTATTTAAATACAATAAATAATAATTTATTAATTTCATGTTTCTTGAAATTAAATTCTCATAAAAAATGTTATCAACAAATATTTTAAATCATTAAATTCTTTGGACGAATTTTAATAAAATTTTTAAGAATAATTACATTTCATTAATTTTCGAAAAATTCGATTAAAATTGCATTAAAAATAATTAAAATCCTGCAATGAGTTTTATTATTTATGAAAATAATTAAACTCCTAAAAGAATTTTATTATTTATGAAAATAATTAAACTCCTAAAAGAATTTTATTATTTATGAAAATAATTAAACTCCTAAAAGAATTTTATTATTTATAAAAATAATTGAATCCCTGTAAAAATGTTATTATTTATGAAAATAATTGAATAATTATTGCGAAGAAATTTATAAAAAAAATAGTAAATAATTGAATTGCTGTAAAAATTTTTATTACTTATGAAAATAATTGAATGTTTGCGGAGAATTTTATTGAAATTTTTTTTTATAATGGAATTCTTTTGGAAAATTTTATTCAAATAGTAGATATTGAAAATCATTGAATTTTAGATAACTTTTGAAAATAATTGAAATTTTGACAAGAATTTGATTAAAATTTTGTAAAATAATTGAATATCAGAGAAGAATTTTATTATTTATAAAGAGAATTGAAATTTTGACGAGAATTTTTAAAAAATTTTGTACACAGATAAATTTAGTAACTATGTTACTATGTTACTAAGTTAGTTAGTAAGTTAGTAACTAACTTACTAACTTACTATTCTCCCTGGAGAAGCTAAATTAGTTGAATTTTTACAAATCGTTGACTTTGGTGTTTTATTTAAAGTAAAATTTCATTCACAGTTAAAAATAACACCAAAATATATTATTTTAATCCTTTCTGGTGTTAATTTAATCCTAGAGGGATTAAACTGTTGCATATTATTTTAATCCATTCTGGTGTTATTTTAACACTTCACGTTTTACTGTTAGTTAAGACTTTCGTTATTTTAGAGAAACTTATCTGTGTTACAGGTAACATTTTTTTTTCAGCGTAAGTCAAATATCTATTTAAATATAAAAAAGTAAAATATTCATTAATTCTCAAATACCAATTAAAAATTAACTTTTCTAAATTTTTTTTTTATTTTTTGAAAAAAATAAAATTTCTAGACACTTTGAGAGATAAACGAAAATTTACAACCCAATTCAAAAAATTATATAATAAATAATAAAAAAATAATAAACTGCGCGTAATTATGAACTAATTAAATTTTACCATCCACCCGTTATATAACTATACAGTAGCTTTGTGAGCGAGCGCGTGCAGGTTAGTTGCTAGAGAGCGATGCAGTGAATTGCGGTGCTCTGATGTGCGCAGGATTTCTCTATTCGCGTTGAATCATTAAGATCGAGATTGAAGCTCTAAGGAATACGAAATTCAATTTCCGATGCCGACATCAAGAAAATAAGGGCAGATCTACAAGGCGTTGAGAAACCATCCCTTTCCAATATCAAAGGAGTGCCTCTTTGCAGCATACTGATCAATTATTTGCAGATTCTCTAAAGTTGATACATTAACTCGCGATTAAACTGACGGGGAATTTTACCAAGTGGAAAATCTCATCAACGAAATTTTCATTTTCTTCATTAACATTTAAATTCACTGTGTAAAAATCGATTATATACATCAGTCATTGTTTTTTTTCGCCCCATAGTCCATCATAATTATTATTCATTATTATTATAAATATTTACAAATTATGTGATGGAATTTTTTTTTTATTTCAAATAAATAAAATATGTAAATATCTGTAAACAGAATAAGAAATATTCAGTTAAAAAATATTCCATGTTTTGAATAAAATTTTTGAAAACAATGTTTTTTAAAAATGTTCTGAATGAAAATATTAATTTATCTGAATTTCATTATTTGGTTTCTTCCCCTCGCAAATAAAGTTTTAATCACAATATTCGTTTGTGTTATATAATTTTCAGTATAATTTGAAATAATTGAATTATTTAAATTTAATTGTTGAAATTTCCTTATTCGAATTAGGATCAAGCCAGATATAATGATTAACTGAAAATAATAACCGAATATAATTCTTTTTTCGCTAGAGAAATTTTGAAATTTTTGTTTTTAAATTTCGAATTTTGCGGAAAATTGGAACACTATATATTGTAATCGCAAATTACGAATAGGGTTTCTTGAGTATAGAAACTAAATTATTATTCCACGAATACAAACTGGTCGGTTTGGTATGCATGACGTATTTACATACACAGGTTGTACTGTACTTAATGCTACTGGACGAATGGAATTATTACTAAATATGTAAATGAAGATTCGTCGAGCGAAAGATGATTTGCCTCCACAACTTTAGATTGAAAGCTTCGTATACAACGCGTATTTAAGGTATTCGCCTTGAAAATAAGTATTCGTTATAATTCATTAATTATATGAAATTAATTCTATAAAAAATTTCAATATTTAATGAATTAATTCTAAATAATTAGTTAATTAATTAATTGTATTTTTTAATTGTATCCTTTGATAGAATTCTTTAGTTTAATTCTTTAATTGTATTCTTTAAGCCTATTCTTTAACTGTATTTTTGAATTATATTCTTTAACTGTATTTTTTAATTGTATTCTTTAATAGTATTCTTTAACAGCATTCTTTAATTGTATTCACTAATTGTATTCTTTAATTAAATAAATTTCTTCAATTAGAATAATTTTCTTTCGAATCAAGTATCGAAAAGCGAAATTCAAAAGCAGAAAAAATCCGCAGTCGTGAAGAATCGAACCCTGGGCTTTATCTTGTGAGTCTAGTGACAAATCCACTTAGCCATCCCACTTAAGATAAATTTCTTTAATTAAAATTTTTAAATTAAATACTTCTTTTAATTCAATATTTAATTTCAATTCATTTCAAAGTTAAATAGTGTTTACTAAGTCTAGTTTCTTAATTTTTGTATTTTCAATTAATTAATTAATTAATTAATTATTATTCACTATTTTCTCTAGTATTAAATAGAGAAAAACTATTCCGCTTGTGTATACTATAAAATAACGTTAATCACATGTATATACCCGTATTATGCATTTATATATTCTTCTTCTTGTAGATTTTACTCAGACTCGAAAAAAATTGAGACAATTACCAAAAAAATTACAGTAACAAATAAATAATTGTAAATGAATATAATACCATTTTTCTCCATTTCTTTTTGTTAATAAATTTTGAAATAAAATGTTTTGTGGAAAATTTGATAGAAAAATTATAAAATAATTAAAAAATAAAATTTAAAAAAATAATAAATACCTACTCTCAAAAATTGTATGGAAAATTCTATGAAGAATTTTATAGAAAATTGTAAATAGTTGTAATTTGAGTTTAGGAAACGAAAATTATATTACAATTAACGATCAAGTTACTGGACAATGAAAAAATCGAAAATAATTTTCAAATAAAGAAAAATAAATATGGTAGGTACAAAAAAATGGAAAATAATTTTTAAATAAAGAAAACAAATATATAAATTGATAAAAAAAAGATCGAAAGTAATTTTTAAAAATAGAAAATAAATATAAGAAGTGGTACAAGAAAATCGAAAATAATTTAAAGAAAATAAATATATAAATAATGGTACGAAAAATCGAAAATAATTTTTAAATAAAGAAAATAAACATAAAAAATTATACGAAAAAAAAGGTATTATATTCAGTTACAACGTTTTAATTTTATTACCGACGCTATTAAAATAAATCACGTAAACATTGTTATATTAAAATAAAAATTTAACTTCCATTTGAATAATTAAAAACAAACACAAAAATTGTTTTTCCTAAAATTCGATAAATGTTTGTCATTCAAAACATGATTTTATCAATTTCATGTCAATATGATTTCATTTCAATATAATTTCATTTGATTCAATGAAACTATGGACAAAGTAATATTGTCAATATACCAATAATTGACAATAAAAATTGTCAATTATTATTCTCTTTCAAAAAAGAAAGAAAAATTCTAAATAGTAAATAAAGTTAATTGGAAAATTTGTAATGTATCACTTACCAATAACTCGAACTTCGACTGACCGATAAGCAGTAAAGTTGTGTTTATTCCTTGCCGTGCACGTGTAAGTTCCTTGATCAGCATTTTGTTGAACGGTTTCAATAGTCAGTGTACCATTTAAAACTCTTTGCCTCATATTTGTCGGTAGTCTCGCACCATCTATTGTAATAAGAAAAAGAAAAAAGAAATTTTATGTAATTCAAATTTTATGGGCAAAAGTAATTTGCAAAAAAAATTCCAAAACTCGTCGTTCACAAATTCAAATTATTATTAAAGCTTTCTTTTACTAATGCTAAGCCAATTTTAGTTGTTATTATTATTTTTTTTAATAACTTTTTAGTGATATTTTTAGTATTTTTTTGCAACCTTAGTAATTTTTAGTAATTTTTTTAAGGAATTTTTAGTGAATTTTTTAGTAATTTTCACTATTAATTTACTAATGAAAAATAGAATTACAAAATAAAATAGTAAAATTCTCCTAGAATTTTAGGAAAATAACTGACTTCTCGCGAAAAATTGTGTTAAAATTTTTAAAAATTTTAATTAAATTCTATTTAAAGAATTTTTTTAAATGTTTTTTAAAATAGTGCAGTTTCTTTAATAATTTTAATTAAAAATGTTGAAAATAATTTAATTTTACGAACAATTTCTTTCAAGTTTTTAAAATAATAATGTTTGTTAAAAATTGAAATTAAACATTCATTTATTGAATTTTATTAAAATTTTAGAAAGTAATTGAATTCCTTTGAGGAATTTTATAACGAATTAAGAAAAAAAATTCAATTCTATCATGGAATTTTTTTTTTATAATAATTGAATTATTGCAAAGAATTTTACTATTTATAAATATAATTGAATTGTTCAAAGGATTTATTAAAATTTTAGAAAATAATTTAATTTTTGCTCGAAAAATTAAAAATATTATTAAACATTTTTTAAAAATTGAATTCTTTTATGAAATGCATTATTAAAATTGTATTAAAAATAATTGAATGTTTGCAAAGAATTTTACTATTCATAAATAAAATTAAATTGTTTCGAAGAATTTATTAAAATTTTAGAAAATAATTGAATTTTTTTTAAAAATTTTTTATAACGAATTAAAAAAATTGAATTCTTTCGTAAAATTTTCTTGAAAATAATTGAATTTTTGCAAAGATTTTACTATTTAAAAAAATAATTGATTTATTTACAAGGATTTATTAAAATTTTTAAAAATAATTGTATTTGTTCGTGGAACTTTATTAAAATTTTGTTTAAAAATAATTGAATTTTTGCAAAAAATGTTACTATTTATAAAAATAATTGAATTCTTACAAAGAATCTTTATTATTTATAAAAATAATTTAATTCTTGTGAAGAATTTTATTAAAATTTTTTGAATTTCATAAACAAGAATAATTAGTTATTAAATTAGTTAATCATTGAATTTTTTTGAAGTTTTAATCTAAAATTATTCAATAATAATTATTTAAAAATTTAATATCACGTTCCGCGTGTAACATTTGCTAGTGTTTATTAATTTGAATCAGTGACTGACTTTTTGCTTTTGAATTAGTAAATTTTACTAATAAATAGTAACTTCTACAAATTTATTAGTGGAATTTACTAATTCTCTAAATCTAAATTAGGGAAAAATCAACTAACAAACAGTAAAATTTAATTAATTGTTCGTAATTTTCATAGACGATTTTCCCCTTTTTGATTAGTAAAATATAACTAATTTTTCGAATAGTTTTACTAATTTTTTTAGTAGAATTTCACTAAAAATTGCTAGTCATCCGAGTCAGGAAATGAATTAATGGAACTTTTAACGACTTTTAATAAAACAGTTCTACTAATTTTTAGTAAAATTCTAAGAAAACTATATGAAGAATTGTATTGGCGCAAAATCAAAAAAGAAAAAAGTAATTAATATTTATACTTAAAATATTATATTAAATAATTATAATTAATTAATATCTATAAAAAATACAATTATTTAAATTTCTACTCAACAGTAAAATTTTATATATTTTCGACTGCAATTTGAAGCTAAAAATTCTATTTTCCTTAAAGTAAGACATTATTTTTAACATCAATTGTGAAGAAAATTTAATTACACTACGTTTATTTCGAAAATTAAGTAAACTGGAAAATAAATTAAAGTAGAGTTCTCTCGAGCGAGCACTACCGATTTATTTATTATTCTTAAATAATAGTTTCGGGGAAAAATAGGAAATGTTTTGTTGGAGTGGGGAGTTTTCACAATGGAGAACTATAATTCGATGCCAATAACAAAAATAGGAGGTAAAAGTTAGGAGTGGAGAGAGAGAGAGAGAGAAAAAAAAGAGAAAGAGCGAGAGAATGAAGAATAAAGAAAGAAAAGAAGAGAGAAAGAGAGACTTTCAAGATTTATCTTGGACATCTCCAATTTCTCCTTTCAACGATAAAGTACGGTCTCTACAGGAAGGATACGTTTAAAGCAGAACTCGGTAAATTTGAAGCGAAACGATCGAATAGGTTTTCTTACCTTTTTCCCATATTATCGCTTCAATTGGATACCCGGCGACAGGGCATTTGATGTATAGTTGCTTTCCAGCCACCGCTGAAATAGTTGGCATTTCTCTCACGTACGGTAATCCTGCAATCAGAAAATTGCGTGATTGCTTCGAACATTATCAATGCTCAGGGAAAAGAAGGAAACGAGGTCGGGGAAACGTCGACGTTGAACGTCAACGTCAATGACTTTGTGCAAAGACCCCAAGATACTTGAGCTATATATTTTATACCACAGAACTTCCGTTGAGGCAATCATAAAAATTCGATTTATATACTACTTCAATAAGAGCTTTAGCAAAAATTATGTTTCTGATATCGTACAAAACACACACACACACACACACTTTTCTATAATATATATCTGCTGTGGAAGATAATTTTAATTTTCATCGTCTATTCTCTTTTGATTTTTTTATTTTTCTTCCTTTTCTTTTTCTTATTTTTATTTTTTTTTTCATTTCTTATATTTATATTTTATATTATATTTTTATTCTTCTTATATTTTATCAGACTGTATCGGACAGTCCGATGTATGATATAAATTTCAGTCCTTACCCCGAAAATAAATATTTTTTGAAAAAAAAGATATTTTCAAGAACCAACTGTGTCCCGAATGGATTATTTTTCACCTACACAGGGCTCGAACTCGAACCAGTGAAAGTATTTAAAAATGCGGACTTTACGGACAAAAAATGAAAAATTACGGACCAATGACAAAAATATAACCAGTCAGAGTCAAATAAGAGAACATTTTACTTAAAACTATAAATTAAATTTTTTCGTAACTATAAAACATAAAGATATCGATTACTCCGAGTCTTTGACTTGGAACAATCGTCATCTTTATGTTTTATAATAATTAAAGATGGCGCAGTGATAAAATCATTATTTTATATTATAAGAATATTATTACTGTAACTTCTTCAAAATTATTTTCATCATTTCAATTCAATTATTATTTCTAAGAATTTGTAACTAAAATTATTCTAAATCAATTATTTTTAATAATTTTCGAAAAAGTTCTATGACAATTTTCAAATTCATTTGTTTACAATATTTGATTTTACGAAATTTCAATAAATTCTCCAATTAAATATATATATTAGAAAATAAAAACTTCGAATAATATAGACAAAAATTCCATTAAATTTTTCCAAAAAAATTAATTTCTAAATTCAATTACTTCTAAAAATTCACGCTTTATTGCTTTTAATATTTAATTATTATTTAAAATTTTAATTCATTTATTTTTAAATCAATTTTTATAAGAAAATTTTACTAGAATTCATTTATTTAAATACAAAAATATAATTGAATTTCTGCAACAATTTGTAATTTCTCCAAAATAAAAAATTTTTTTTTTTTAGTTTTTTTAACTAAAATTCTTCTATAAATCAATTGTTTTGAATAATTTTTGAAAAAGTTCTTCGAAAATTTTCAAATTTATTTTTCAATTTTACTTTCAATTATTCGGAAATTCTTCAAAATTAAATATATATTAGAAAATAAAAATTTCAAATAAAATTGAAACAAACTTTTTCAAAAAAAATTTATTCTTCTACAGAATTGTTAGTTAAAAGTATGAGAAATTAAAATTTTCAAAGATTTTAATATGAAACCTTTTCAAAATTCATTATTATTTTTAAAAATTCACGCTATAATGCTTTTAATCTTCAATTTTTATCTAAAACTTGAATTGAAATTTATTTTTAATTCAATTATTTAAATAAAGAAATAATTTATTGAATAATTGAATTATTCATAAAGAATTTTAAAAACAAATTTTTAATTAATTGAATTCTTTCGACGAATTTTAATAAAAGTTTTAAGAATAATTACACTTTTCGAGGAATTCCATTAAAATTGTATTAAAATTCAGCATTGAGTTTCATTGTTTATAAAAATAATTGAATAATTTGCAATTTCTCCAAAATAAAAATATTTTTTTAAGTTTTTTTAACTAAAATTCTTCTATAAATCCATTATTTTAAATAATTTTTGAAAAAGTTCTTTGAAAATTTACAAATTCATTTTTCAATTTTACTTTCAATTTTTCAAAAATTCTTCAAAATTAAATATAAACCTATTAGAAAATAAAAATTTCTAAAAAATAATTTCAAATAAAATTGAAACAAACTTTTTCAAAAATATTTTTTCTTCTACAGAATTGTTAGTTAAAAGTATCAGAAATTAAAATTTTCAAAGATTTTAATATGAAACCTCTTCAAAATTCAATTATTTCTAAAAATTCACACTATAATGCTTTTAATATTCAATTTTGATCTAAAACTTGAATTGAAATTTATTTTTAATTCAAATATTTAAATAAAGAAATAATTTACTGAATAATTGAATTATTCATAAAGAATTTTTTCAACAAATTTTTAAATAATTGAATTCTCTCGACGAATTTTAATGAAAGTTTTAAGAATAATCACACTTTTCGAGGAATTGCATTAAAATTGTATTAAAAATTAAAATTCAGCATTAAGTTTTATTATTTGTAAAAATAATTGAATTCCTAAAAAGAATTTTATTCATGTAAATAATTGAATCCATGTAAAAATTTTATTATTTATGAAAATAATTGAATTATTTAGAAGAAATCTATAAAAAATTTGTAAATTTTTATTATTTTATGTGAATAATTAAATGTTTGCGTTAAATTTTATTAAAATTTTTTTTAAATAATTGAAATCTTTTTGGAAAATTTGATTAAAATATCAACTATTGAAAATCATTGAATTGAGGAAAATAATTGAAATTTTGTCCAAAAATTTCATTAAAATTTGTGAAAATAATTGAATTTCGAAGAAGAATTTTATTACATTTGAAAATAATTCAATTTCTACAATCGTTTGTAATTTCTCTAAAATTCTCCAAATTATATCGTACAATTTACGAACTTTTTGTCATTTTTCTTTCAAATTACGGATTTTACGGACTTCTGTTATAAGTGGAAAAAGTTAGTTTCAGTCAGACATATTAAAGTCTACTGAGATTATATTTAGTGAAATAAATTTTATTTTATATTAAACCAAAAAAATGTGTTAAATATTATTAAAATGGTAATATCAGTAGTATATGAAAATTCTAGTCAGACGATAATTAAAATTTGTGCATCATTGTTGTAAATAGTAAAAACGACTTAAGTTATAGGCATTTAGTTTAAATTTTTCGAAAAATTACAATATTAGTAGTACAAAACTGTTACAGTCAGACAATTTACTCATCAATTCTCATAACAGTAGTGAGAATGCTGTTTTAGTCAGACAAACTGGTTTAAATTCTTATATTAATGTTATGTGCTTATTAAAATTTTAATTTACTCTTCTAATGTGATATAAGTAGAAAAATCTGGTTTCAGTCAGACTGATTAAATTCTCGTGTGATTATTTTTAGTATAGTAAAAGTTATTTTATATTAACGTAAGTTGTATATAATTCATAAAATTTAAAAAATAGTTTTTGAACCAGTAATGTTGTAATTTTTAAATACCTGAGACTAAGCGTCAGCCTAAAACCGTTTTTACCACTTGCACCAATTCTGCGCAAAGTTTGATTGTCTTGTCTGACTAAAATTGTTCTCTACTACTGATAGAACCATTTTAGTAAAAATATTAAACATATTATAAATGATAAAAATAAATTATTCTTACTACTGATAGTCATCATTAGTAGTAAATGACAGTTTAGTCACGCGAACGTTTGTTAAATACTATTGAATCGTAATTTCAGTAGTAAAGAAAATTTTAGTCAGACAAAAAAAGATTATTCTTATTATTATTTATTTATATTATTTTAATGAAAAATGAGTCAAATAATAAATTAATTTAATTAAAACAAGGAGACATTAAAAAAAATTGCTTTTATTTTAATGAATACCTTTTTTTGATGATTGAAAAAAAAATTTCTTCTTCGACTGCAATTGTGTTAATTGACATGAATTATTTATTGACTTTCGGGATGTCCTAATTAAATTTCTTTTCCATTAAACCAAAAAAAATCTTTAATTAAATTAAGAGGAAAGGTTCTTTAATTTAATCGAAAATTGTTTAATTCAATCACATTTTCTTGAATTTAAATTTAAATTTAAAAAAGTAAATTAAATTTAAAGTAACTAGAAAAGCAAAAATGGAGTTTTATAAATCAATATCAATTTTTTTCATTTAGAATTTCTTTATAACAGAGAAATAATTGTCTACTAATTAAACAATATGAAATTGAATGAAAATAAAGAAAGTAAATATAGAAAATTTCTTTAAATTGTAAATTAATAAAATTTTAATTACATTTAAGAAGTTAATATTTTTAGAAAAAAAAATTTTTTTTATTTTTAGAAGTTATTCGTGAAGTTAATTAATTGATTTCCATAAATTCGAGTGAAATAAAAATGTATAAAAAAATTTAAATAAAATATAAAGTAGCAATTTTCTGTCAGAAAAGTTCACTAAGGTAAAATTTGAACAGAAGAGTCTTTTAGATTAAGGAACTTTTCGAAAAATTAAATTAAGGTCACTGAAAATTTCTATAGTATAATATGCGAAATCTTAGTCGTAGATAAAATTTCCATTGAAAAATTGACTAAAAATGTCCTTTTCACAAATTCCGAGAGAATTTCGATAATATTCGAAAAAGGATAAATCCACAGAAAAGTGAGAATGTGAAGAGACATTTTCATTTTCAAGAAGCGCAGTTGACATACACTTTCGTTAAATATGGTTGCATGCCCAAATAAAAGAGATTCTTTTCTAAAACCACTCCGTATAATAGTTCCATTTACGTGATAATGTTTTCCCTCCCTACACAGTAATACTCACATGTCTAGAACCGTGTATGTACATATATATATGTATAGTACAAACTATCCTCCATTTACATAAGATTTTCTTAAAATTACAAAAAAGGGGATACTTTTTTTTTATAGTTCTACACTCCTCGTGGGGTTTGTATTCATTTTCTATGTATATATGTATGTGGGTACGTTTATTGAAAAACGATTCTCACCGTAAATATTCAGTCGGGCAGAATGCTTTGCCTCTCCAGCTTTACTGCTCGCTGTGCATTCGTATTCGCCACCGTCTTCCGGCTTCACTGACGAAATGTTGACATGGGAGATTACATCTCCGTACACAGTTACGTATTGGCCAATGAGAAGTCTGTCGTTTTGCGGCAGCGGAAATCCATCCAACAGCCAGGAAATTTGCGGCGTAGGATTACCCGCTGCGCTACATTTCAGAGAAACCGATGGACCGGGTTGCATTGTCTGTTCAATGAATCTATAGACCAACTGTGGCGCGATCTCTGTTTAACAGAAAGTCAAAATTCCATTATGTTATCGTAAAATCATTTAGAAATTATTATTATTATTATTATTATTATTATTAGTATTATTATTAATATTATTATTAATTTTATTTATTTATTTATTTTTAATATAAATAGGATTATTATAATTCTTATTATTAGTAGTAGAAGACATTGTGGTTAAAGTCCACTTTAGTCAGACAAATCTGTTTAAATTCGTGTATCAGTGCTGCACTAAAAAAAAAAAATTAATTGATTCAATGATTCCCTACCAATTGTCCTAATTTGAAATTCCTAATTTCAGAAATTCCGAAAAGTCTTTTTCCTAAAGTTAAAATTCCTAATCAAATTTTCCTAATCTGTTTTTCCTAATTCTATTTATTTTCCTAATTTTCCAAAAAAAATTATGCATTCAAAAATTAAAAATTTTACATTTGATTTTTAAAAAATTCTATTAAAATTGTCGAAAATAATTGAATTTATATTAAAATTCTTGAAAATAATTAAATTTAATTTATATAAATGAAATTGTGTGAAGAAATTCATAAAAAAAATCTGTAAATAATTGAATTCCTGTGAAATGTTTATTATTGTATAAAAATAATTAAAGATTTGCGTAGAATTTTATTAAATTTTTTTTTAATAATTAAATTCTTTTGGAAAATTTTATTAAAATAGTAAATATTAAAAATCATTAAATTAAGGAAATTTTTTGAAAATAATTGATATTTTGCTAATAATTTTATTAAAATTTTGAAAATAATTGAATTTTGCAAAAGAAATTATTTAGAAATTCAATTTATTAAACAGGTTAAATTGTTAATACAAATTTTGAAAGATGTACGTCAAACTCAACGGTTATTTAAATATAAACATTTACGAATAGAAAGCAATTGAAAATCGAACATCGTGACAGACGAATATCTATTTTCATAATTCAAAAAAATTTGTCGTTTAGGAAAAATTAACCATTAGGAAAATTTATATATTAGGAATTTACAATTAGAAAAATTGGATTAGGAAAACGAAATTAGGAAAAATGATTTTTAGGAAAATAGATTATTAGGAAAATGCAATTAGGAAAATTAAATTAGGACAATCGTCCGGGAACGGATTCAATTAGCCGATTAATTGACTATTATCCATTAAATATTTAATTGAATCAAATAATATTTATTGGAGTCAATTAAATGGTATTTGATTCAAATACTGAAATTATTGAATCAAATATGAATTGAACCATTTAATTGACTCCAATAAATATTATTTGATTCAAGTAAATATTTAATTGCTAATAGTCAATTAAATGGATATTTGAATCAATTAAATTTTCTTTTCAGTGTGTAAGTAGTAAAAAAGGTTTCTAGTCAAACAAAATAGTTAAAAATCTAATATAAACAATTACAATTAATATTTAATTTACAATAAATCACTAGCAACAATTCGCGCACGGCTAATATCTCACTCACTTTTTTTAAAAATCAAATTGGCAATTTTTAAAAATAATAGAACGTAATAATTTTTAATTCATTTTTTTTGTGTAAAAATATAATATGAATTGGAATATATAGTTTTATTATTAATATAATTATAATAATCATATATTCTGATATAGGCAATTCAGGGAAAGGACAGGATTTTTTATTAAAAGTGCTGAAAAAATTAAATTTTTGTGAATTCATAAGAAAATTCTGAATTTTTGTGTATTTTTTTTTTTTTGTTTGACTTATAATCTATGAAATTACCTACATAAACTGTAAAATTAATTATAATACAAAACCTTTAATTTTTTTGCAATTCTGACAATAATTTGAAAAATTTTAATAATTCAAAATCTTCTAAAATTAGTTAAATTTGTCAATATATATTATTGAAAACATTAAAAACGTTAAAAACATTAAAATAATTGAATTTTGAAGAAGTTATAAATGATTGCAGAAAATCAATTACTTTCAAAAAGTAATAAAATTCTTATCACAAAATTCAATTATGTTCAAAATTGAAAAAAAATCTTGTCAAAATCCCAATTATCTTTAAAAATAATAAAATTCTTATTATAATAGATGTAAATGTTTTTTGGATTGTTTAAATTTAAAAACAAAAAACATCATATACTAATAAAATCCTTTTTCAAAATTCAGTTATTTTCAAAAATTTTCCTCATTTCAAGAAATTTCAATGCTTTTACTATTTTAATAAAACTACCCAAAAGAAATCAATTATTTAAAAACTTTTTTAATAAAATTGTCGGCAAACATTTCATTATTTACATAAATAATAAAAATTTCACAGGAATTCAATTATTTACAAATTTTTTTATAGATTTCTTCTAAATAATTCAATTATTTTCATAAATAATAAAATTTTTACAGGGATTCAATTATTTACATAAATAAAATTCTTTTTAGGAATTCAATTATTTTTATAATTAATTAAGTTTAATGCTGAATTTTAATACAATTTTAATGTAATTCCTCGAAAAGTGTAATTATTCTTAAAACTTTTATTAAAATTCGTCGAAAGAATTCAATTATTTAAAAATTTGTTGTTAAAATTCTTCATGAATAATTCAATTATGCAATAAATTATTTCTTTATTTAAATAATTAAATTAAAAATAAATTTCAATTCAAGTTTTAGATAAAAATTAAATATTAAAAGCATTATAGGTGTAAATTTTTATAAATTATTTAAATTTGAAGAGGTTTTATATTAAAATCTTTGAATAATAAGATAATAATCTTGAACTATATTTAATAAGAAATTATATAAAATTTTAATTTTGAATGAATTTAATTAGAAATTTTAAACTTAAATTTTTAAAAATTTTAATAATTTAAAATCTTCTAAAATTAGTTAAATTTTTCAATATAATATATTTAATTAATTATTAAAAACAATAGATTTATAGAAGAATTTCAGTTAAAAACACTAAAAAAATTTAATTTTGAAGAAGTTACAAATGATTGCAGAAATCCAATTATTTTTAATACAATTTTAATCGAATTCCTTGAAAAATGTAAGTATTCTTAAAAATTTTATTAAAATTCGTCAATAGAATTCAATTATTTAAAAATTTGGTAATAAAATTCTTTATAAGAATTAAATTTTAAGAAACAGTCAAATAATTTACTTTTGCATTTAAATAATTTAATTCTCATAGAATTTTCTAATAAAAATTGATTTAAAAATGAATTTTAGTTAAAATTTTAGATAATAATTTAATATGGAAATAATTTTGAAGAAGTTACATTAACAATATTCTTATAATATAAAATAATTATTTTATCTCTCGATTATCTTTAAAAAAAATGAAGAAATCGATCGCTCCGTGTTGAAGACTCGGAGTGATCGATTGTGTTACAATCGATCATGTTTTACAACAATATTTTTAAAGTTGTTTGATTTCAAAGAGGTTTGAATTTAAAATTTCTGAAAATGTGAATTCCTATAGAAAAATAATAATAATTAAATATTTATTTAAAAAAGTCAACTGCCCTTTTGTTAGACAAAATAATTAAAAATTTTAAAAATTCTGTTCTATAAAATACTAATTTTAATCAGACCTCTTTGAATTTGTTTTTAAACTCTCGCATTTTTGTCAGAAATAATAAATTATTTTAATCCAAACGGAACGATTAAAAAAATCCCTGTAATTACATTCTAAATACTAAGTTTTTATTTCCGGTAAAATGTTTATATATTAGAAGTGGAGAAATTTATTTACCATTAATAATAAAATTAACATAATATGAGTACACAATTTTCAAACCTTAATTTTAAAAATAACTTTGCGAGAAAACTTTTCTTCTAAAAGTGTATTAAAAACTTTTTTTATTCCAGATACGTTAAAATTAGTTCTCATTTGTACGTCATTTCAAACGTTGAGCTCTACTACTGAAAAATAAATTTTTAAATAAAACTAAAAAAGTTTATAAAAAAATTTTTATAAAAAAGAAGGTTAATTAAAGAATAATTTGAAAATTTGAAAATATGTAGAAATATGCGGTTAAGTTTCATGATTTAGTGAAATTAAATTAAATTGCTTTATATAACAGTGAGAGAAAAATTTATTTCATTCAACTAACTAGTTACTTGTATATTGTCAAAAAAGTATTTACTTGAGTCAAATAAATTGTATTTAAATCAAATAAATTATATTTAAATCAAATAAATTGTATTTAAATCAAATAAATTGTATTTAAATCAAATAAATTGTACTTAAATCAAATAAATAGTATTTTAATAAAATACTGAAATTATTGATGAAATTATACAATTTATTTAATTAATATAAAAATTATTTGATTCAAATAAATATTTATTTGATAATAGACAACTTATCGACTATTTGAATGAAATAAATTTTTTTCGTTTTATCCATTAATTAAAAATTTATAAACAGTTATGGTTCTTCTAATAAATAATCTCCTCGAGCTTAAATCGCTAATTTCGCATTTAAAAAATAAAATAATTTTAATTATAATTTAACCCACCCAACGGGAAGTTGCCAATGTTAACGATTGGTTCAATAATGGGCCATGCTTGGTACCCAATGGTTTTTTCTTGGCAAAACAATTGGCAACCATCATTGGACCACCAATGGTTTAAACTTGGGATGATCACGCTACTGCCAATGATCGGTAGCCAAGCATCGGGCCAATATTAGTTACCAAGGAATTGCCAAGGAAACAAAATCGATTTTCAAAAGCTTGATTTTTTATTGGCAGCCAACAAAAAACCAAGGTTTTGAAAATTGATTTTTTTTAATTATTAATTAAAATTTATTTTTAAAAAATATATTTTTCAAAAATTTATTTAAAAAAAATATATTTTTTAAAAATATATATTTTTTTAAATTAATAGAACATATTAATTTAATTTGTCACCTCTGGTAAAACAAAGATGAAAGACTGATAAATTCCCTCACTTTATATTTTACAGTGGAGGGATAACTGTGAATGTCTTTGCGAGAGAGGAGCAGGTACTTATATAGAG